TCCGTACTGAAGGAAAGTGACATTTGAGTCAGGCTTGAAAGGATGAGCTAGGAGGGCAGAAGAGCTTGAGCATAGGAATAGGAGCATAAAAGTGTAGTGGTCACGAAAGAGGCAGGGAGTCGTTCACTCAGGATGAAATGGACATGGAGAGAAGTGACAAGGAGGTTGGTGCCTCCAGGTTGTGAAAGGTCTAAGGATTTGAACTTGACTTGGGAGGCTCTAGGAAGGAGTTGACTATTTTAGACATTAGCAATGATAGGAAATTTGTACATTGGTCATGATTTTGGCTGTGAGGTATCTGTAGTAGGAATCGAGATGAGAAGGGTAAAGCAGATTCCCAATAACTTGCTACATCCACTTTGTAAGATTCAAAGTGCTGTGATTGATTCTTTGGTCATATCTAGATGTACTGATAGAAAATACTTTGGAAACAAAAGTTTTGAATTGTTCTTAGGGCATGAATTAATTGGAGCTAGGTTTAAGGGAAAATAAGAGGTAGAGTATCTCATACTGGGAAAAGAAAATGCACTGATCAGGTCTTGAGAGCACTGTCTTCTAGCATAGGTTGTAGTATTAGACAGCTGTGTAACCATGGGCATATCATTGACCTGTCTGGCCCTCCATTTCTGCCCCTACAAGAATAAGGGATGTGGTGACTGCCAAACTTCTAGAAAGAGTGGTTCATGCTCACTGCGTCCGTATTCTTAACCTCTTAAACCTCTTGCAGCCCTTCCTACAAGTCTATTAAAATATTTTCCTCAAGTCACCAGTGATCTTAATCTCATTTAATGGACTCTTCTTTATTCATTTTTAATTAACTTTACCCAGTTTTGACTTTCTTTAAAAGCAAAGAGGATCAATCCTATGTTGCTGAAATTGGGGAAGGCAGTTATATTATTTTAGAAATTCGTTAACAGGCCATTTCTAAACAAAATAACTGTAATTGGTATAACAGAACTCTGCTTGTGGTAGGCACTTAACTTTATTGAGTGAATTGATGAATGGAAGGCAGAAGTGCAACAGTGAGAATAAACTTCCTTTCTAGGTAATTGTGATGAGGTCAGTAGGCAAGGGTATAAGCATGTTGGGAAGTGGCTTCTGGGTCAGAGGTCATGTTTTTTAATATCTCCTCCACTGAATCATTAAGTGCTTATAATAACTACAGTGATAATTTTTGCCCCCCCCAAAAAACCTCTAGGATCACTAGAGAATAAACCTATAATGCATCAAACATGCACCTGCTTGTTACAAAGGAAAAATATATTTGTAAAATAATTGGGCAATTATTTACTTCTTAAAGAGCCATTAAATAAAATTAGCTCACAATCCCCAACTGGTTTGTGAAATGGGACCCACTGCTTTAGTATTTTAATACATACAGCTAGTTGCTGAGAGGGCTTATGTGGACCACAGCTTGGAACACCTGTGTTTACAGTTTGGTCTTCCTACTTCCTGAGTGGCCTTGGAGAAGACCTCATGAGAACCAGTAAGATCAGTGAGAGGAATGGAAAGGAAGAGAGAGAAGAGAGATTGAGACAGAAATAAGTCATCTGAAATGACCCAGAATTTTTAGAAATCTTGTAGTTACCAAAGGAAAACATTTCAAGTCTAAGTTTAAAAAGATTAACCAGTTAAGTTGTAGGGAGAAAATGAAGGGAGGTAAGAAGGGATAAGAAGGACCTGTATTTTAATTCCTCCCTTTCTTCTTTTTTCCCTTCCCTCCTTCCTTCCAAAGTCTAGAGAGGTTCAGTGACTTAACAGGTGACAGCACTTTGAGAACTGCCAAGGGTTATGCAGATGTAATCACACAACTGTTTAAGCATGAAAGAACAGTTTCTTTCATTCTATAGATTGCTATTCTATAACCATCTGATCCCATCCTTGCCTTTCCAGGCTCATTTCATAGCATTCCCTTTTCACTCACTGTACTTGACATACTAGATCAAAGTTCCCCAATTCAACGTTACTAGCAACAGCCTCTCTACATCCTCACAAGTTGTCTGCCATGCCAAGAATGTAGTTACTCCTCTTAACATTTTTTATGTACCATTTTCAAGACTTTCCTTGAAGTCTTTCTCTTCCCTTTCATTCCTTCCCCTCATCCCCCCATCTCCCTATTCAGATTATCTTGTATTTATGAACTTGTACCACTCAAATGACCTCTAAAATACAAACTCCTTGAGGATAGGGATTAGTTTTTACTTTTGTTTTCTCTCTGACATTGCACTTCGTTCAGTGTAAGTACTTGTATAGAAAATGTTTTCTGACTTTTCTCATTAGCAGGTAATTTTGTATTTTGGGGATAAGGGAGAAGTAGGTGTCTAAAGATTTAGTTTTAGCATTCACCCTTTCTAGAATTTAATTTTTCTGGTATTCTGTTTCCTCATTTATCAAATGAAAACATTAGACTAGATAATATTTAAGTTCATTGTTTTATTTTTAAAATTCTTACTTTTATCACGTAATATAGGCAGAATTCCATGAATTCTGAACAGTACTTCATTCATCTGGAATGGTTTCCTTTTGTCTTTTAAGTACCAAGTTGTTAAAAGAGAGCTTTTTTTGTGGTGTGTCTTGTTAACAGGCTTAAATTGAAATTACATCATTGGTCTGATTCAGCTTTTTCCAGCTAATTCAGTTCAACAGATACTGATTAAGCATCTCCTGGGTGCCAGGCACTGTTCTAGGTGCTGGAGTACAAGGACAAAAAAAATTCAATTCTGTATCTTTTTTTTTTTAATCTAAGAATGCCCCATGCTTTCCCCTTCCGCCCCCCAAAAAAATTCAGGAGGAAACAGGTTGTGTGTTTTTGATTCCTTGTCTGCAGGCTTAATTTAAATGAGCAGTGCCATTAATAAAATGCTAACTGCCGTTTTTGCCACCCCTCAACATAACCTGCTTCTGGAAGCTCAGTATCTACATTTCATTTGAAAACAAGCATGGAGTCCCCAGAGGAGGACTTGTCCTAATCACTTTTAGTTAGAGAAGTAATCCCTATATCTGAACATTGTCAGAAATGTTTATATTTTACCTAAGCCTTTGACATACCACCAAATGGTTTATCAACAGTAGGTAACTTTATTGTGAATGTTTTGTAGTTAAATTAACCCATTTATGTCAGGCCTAAGTACTTGCTAAAAGCAGGATTTCTATATTTGTGTAGCATAACATGGGATAAATGTTTCTGAGTTCTGGTTCTTTAATGTATGGTATCTGTTTTATTTTTGGCATACATATTTTAGCAAGATAAATACAGTAATCCCACTCCTAGGTAAATGGAAATCCTTTTTATAGAAAAATATTTATAGCACCCTTTTTTTTTTGGTGAACAGAGAACTGGAAATAATGTAGATGCTCATTAATTGGGGGAATGGCTAAGCAAATTGTGATATATGAATGTGCTGGGATATTACTGCCCCAAAAGAAACTATGAATATGAAGAATTTAAAGAAACACGATTAAACTTAAATGAACTGGTGTTAACACAGCCAGGAAAAAAGTATACAGTAACTTCAATAATAAAGAAGGAAAGAATAGATAAAACAAACTGAAAGTTGTGAAATTATCATGGTCAAACTTGTCCTTAGGAAAGATGAAGAAATTAATCTCCGTTGTTTTTCACAGATGGAGGGACTATGGATATGGAACATTACCTTTACTGTCAGACTCAGTTGATGTTTGTTAGTTTTACAAAAGGTTTTTCCGCTCTTTTATCCTTTGTTAGAAGAAATGACTCACTGAATATTAGAGGGGGAAAAGGTACCTTCAGAAGTAGAAGGTGAAGTAAAAAAACAAAAGAACAGTACATTTTTTGAAAGATTCATATATAGTTGCTTTAATACTATTGCTTTTGTTGCTTGTTTTAACATTTAAAGTTTTTGCACTTATCCTCAAAGAACACAGAATATGGATTTACAATAAAAATCATTTGACTCATAGACGCATACGCCTGTCCAGTGTTTTTCTTTACTTGTGCTTTTGGTTGGGTTTATTTGTGTATGATGATTTAAAGCATAAAAACAGTGCTTGTCTGCCATAGACAATAAGTGATGTCACAACCCCGTAATTGGAAGGCTCTTCAGAGGCCATTTAGTCCAACCCCAAATCAAACTGGAATCCCCTCCACAGCATACTTAATAAGTGGTCATCCAGCCTTTGCTTTAAAATATTGTGGAGAATGGTGTTAAGGGAAAGTGGGAAGGAGAATCCTGAGACTTTATTGAACCAGAAAACTAGAGAAAATAGCACCCGTGCTCATCACATCAAATCACTAAGGCCAGAGAGACCTGGATGAGCCTTCTAAATGGAAATTGACAACTACCCTTCTTAGTCTTATCTTTAATCAAGGATTAGAAAAATAAAAAGTTCTTTCTATAAAATCAAACCGACATCCTCAAATTAGAAGGCCTTCTTTCATCTATTTCTATGGTAATATTGACAGTCTTTTGTTCCTGCCAGTGATATGTCCCCTTTGTATCCCTTGTGAAAAATTATTACTGGCCATTCTTCCAGGTTGGTGTAATTTTGAAGGAGAATAGGGAAATTGAGGCTACAAAAAATGGAATGCTAGGATGAAGTTCACAGAATTACGTTGTGAGCTGGAAAGGACCTCAGATCTAGTCTAACCCCCTTGTTTTATAGATGAGGAAACTGAGGTCCCTTTGGGGCACAAGCTTGTAGCAGAGCTAAAATTCAAAGTCAGAATTTGCCACCAAATCCAATGCTATTTGTATCCTACCAAACTGATAAACTTCCACTCTATAGCACCAACTCTACTGGCGAATGCACTGATATTGCAGGCACACCAGTTATGCATAGCCTTTCAGATAGTTGGATTTTGTTCTGTACTCCATACGATGTATTAAAATGTTAAGAGGATATGAATAGGCCTAAGGAATTTCCTGCAGACTCTGTGATTCAAGCATTCCAGGAGTAAATAAGAGATTTTACCTAATTTATTTGAACTTCTGTCTAATTTTCATTTCCTTTTTTCTTTTAAGATCTTAGCAAAGCAATGTCTCAAGGTGGTACTTCCCAGTTCCAAGAAGTCATCCGACAAGAGCTGGAATTATCAGTGAAGAAGGAACTAGAGAAAATACTTTCAACTGCACCACAAAATGAATCTGAGGTGGGAATTCAAGTATTCCTGATTGCATCAATTTAAAAAGTAGCCTTGGGGTAGCTAGGTGATGCAGTGGATAGACCTCTAAAAATGGTGTGGTGGTTGGAAGACTAGACTTGGATTCAGGTTCAATTTCTGACATGAGTTCATTTCAACAGTTAACCTTGCCTACTCTGTAGAATAGGATACAAAGATACAAATTAGAGTTTCTGAATCTGCCCTCCAAGAGCTTACATTCTATTAGAATATGTGTGGTCCTGAGAAAGGTACTTAACCTCAGTGAACAGTTCTCTAAGGCTTATCTAAAATAGAGAAATAGGTGCTGTTGGCCCTTCTGTTATCTAGCTTGAAAAGATCCTCTGTGAGAGGATATAAGGAAAAACACAGTTGAACTTGTTTGTTCATAAATTAATAGTACTGGATGGAATATGTTTCTATATGAAACTGAGTAAATTGTTAAAAATCTGACGAAATGTCAGAGTATTTAACATGTCCTTTCCTTCAACAGTTAAGCATTTTAACAACTGTCATTTTTCAAAGTTGATAAGCAAATTGTTATTTTATATGTTTGAATCAGTAAATAGGAAAATAAAAGTTGATTTTTTTTTGTTTTGTTTTTGTTTTTTGACAAGCTTTTGGTGGGAGATTAGACAGACAGCCCATACTAGCAACTTACCTCCTTTGTCTTCCATTATGCCCTCTAGAGATCTCTTCATATTCTTTCCCTTTTTTTGGTGCTCACAAGATCCTTGAATGTCTCCAGAAGTTGTTGTATTATTACCCCTGGCCACCTTTTAGTGCTGACTGAACATTCTTACATAACGGACTTTCTTCAAGTCCCAACTGATATACCACCTTCTACAGGAAGCTTTCCTTGATCATCCTTAATGCTAATGCTTTCCTTCTGTCCATTATTTCCAGTTTTCATAGAAACTGGATGTAATTTATTTGCACATAATTCTTTCAATATTGTTTCCTCTATTAGATTGTGATCTCTTTGAGGGCACGGACTGTTTTTTACCCTTCATTGTACCCACAGAACTTAACATAGTGTCTAGCACCTAGTCAGTGCTTTATAAATGTTTATTGACTGACTGGACTTAAAACAACTAGCATACCTTTTTGCCTGTTCATTTACACTTTATAATCCTCTTTCTACTGCCATTATTTTTCAACCTCTCTTTTGAGGTTTACTTTCCCTCTCTTTATCACCTGGTCCAGATTCTTCTGGCTATAATCTACTGGCTTTCAAGTCACTCTCCCTCCTTTCTCAAGGAATTTAATATCTGGATCAAAAATCTTTTTCTACCTGTTCTCATACTGAAGACTTCAGTATGCACATTCATGTCCCTAAGTATACCCTGACCTTTGTAAAGTTCATCAGCCTCTTTAACTTCCTTGAACGCCATCTTCACTTTACCTCACTTAACCCACAAGGATGATCACTAATGCCATGGATTATTTATGCTGACCTGTGCTAGAGCCTTCCAAACTCATATTGGTCGAATCAGCCACAGTAGGACACACTGTACATTGACCCTAAAATATTGATGTCATTTTGGTCCTCTTCCAAAACCAAAGAACAACAATCAACCATCTTCCTGTCCTTAGCAACTATCTCAAACTTTCAGGAAATGCCTTTGTCTGTTAATTTATGGAGAAAATAAGGTAGTCTGTCATGACTGCCTTTATTTGTACTCCCATAGCTCAAAACTCTCCTACATCTTCACACCCATTCTATTCTCCTAAACGTAAGTCTCTGAGGAAAAGGTAGTCCTTCTCCTTGCTAAGGCCAATCTCTGCTTGTGGTCTTGATCCCATTCCCCTCCTATCTGTCCAGGGAGTTTGCTCTTTATCTTTCTTTCACAATTTTCAGTTTCCCTGTCTACTATTTCCATGTTGTTGACAGATATGCCTAGGTTTCTTTAAAACATTTTTTCTTAGCTCAGAAGGACTTGGAAAAAGACGCAATGAAGACACGTTTTGTTTCTGTTTACTTGTTAATTTATTTGGTTATATGCTGCTAAATAAGGGTAAGATTCTTTTCTTTTAATTCTTCTCTTTTGTTATTGGTCTTTGAGAGTTAAGTTTATTAAATTTTTCCATTCACATGACCATTCCATGCTCTCTAGCTATCCTTCTATCTCTTCTCTTCCCTTTTAGTGTCAAGCTCTGTGAATCATCTTTCTTTACTTCCTTACCACCCACTCAACTCCTTGCAAGCTTTTCAAGGTTACCAATAATTTCTTAATTGCTAAATTCAGTGGCCTTTTCTTATCTCCATTGTACTTGACCTCTTTATAGTTTTTGACCCTATTCACTGCTCCTTCTTCCTGGGTACTTTTCCTTCCTTTGCCTCTCTTTGTACCTGTCTAACCATTCCTTCTTAGTATCCTTTGCTGGATCATCATCATCTATTTCCCCCAAGGTTTTGTCCTGGACGCTTCTTATTCTGTGCTCCCATAGGTTCAAATATAATCTCTATGCAGATGATACTGACATTTAAATATGAATCCAGTCCTGTGTCACTGACTGCCTGCTAGATATCTCCTTAACGTCCTATATGCATTAAATTTAGCTTGTCTATAATGGAAATGATTATCTTCTTTTTCCCATTAAACCCACCCTTCCCTCAAACTTCCCTGTTTCTCTGTAGGTTATCACCATCTTCCCAGGTTCACAACCCTACATTCATCCTTGACTTTCCCTTGCCTCATGTATGTGGTCAGTTGCAAAGTCTTGTTGAGTCCACAAATCTGATCCTTCTGTCCCTTTTTCTCTACTCACAGGGCCACCTCCCTTGTCAAGTCATCGGTATCTTTCACCGAGACTACTGTAAAAGCTTCCTCACTGTCTCCCTACTTCCAGTCTCTTTTCTCTCCAATCCAAGGGTTCTGTTTCGGAGCAGGGATAACTCTGATATCCCTGTATTTTTGTCCATTGGCCCATTTTAGGTTTTTTTCCTAAAGGTTGGCTGCCCCGTGGTAACTCTTTTTCATCCAGAGCAGCTTAAGAAGACAATCTCCTGAACCAGAGGGAGTGTAAACTCTCACTGATGCTAGATCTCGAGCTGGAACACCATTTAGTCCAGCCTTTCATTTTATAGATGAACAAACTGAGGCTCAGGGAGGTTAAGGGACTTGTCAGGTAGTCAGTTTTGGAGGTAGGAGTTGAATTCACATCTCTGACTCCAGAGCAAGTGCTTTTTCCACTGTTTGATATAAAAGCTGATCTGATAGCAGAGGTTTACATTTACATTCTGATAGCAGAGGTTTGACATTTAATGTAATGATGTTAGCAGTCTCATAGAATTGGTAGATATTTCTCTTGGTGTCTCTACTTCATGGAAAGCTTGGAGTTTTCTTTTTTTCAAATTTTAGTTAAGTCAGATTTTATTTTTAGTGCTGTCTTTCACTTTGAAAATCTTTGAATGAAAGTAAACTATCTTTATTGATATAACTCTCTTGTGTATATGTATATTTATATATGCACAAACTGCCTATACTATTTCCATTTTTTCTGCCATCTTCTGAACTAACTAATAAGATCATGTGTATGTAATTTTAGATAGGATCTCTTTGAAATTTCTGAAATTAATGGTAGTGGTGATTTAGTAAGTTCCTTGTAGCAAATCATTAAGAAAAACTATTAATACTCCCTTTTATATGCCCCAAGTATGTTTTATTCATTAGTTTTAGGTCTCATTTTAAGCTTTAAATTGTATAAAATTGTGTGTGTTCTATAACCTAAAAGTTAAAGGATTCCATTTAAATATACTTTATGGTTTCTGTCATATGTATCCTATTGCTCTAATATTGCATGTTGGTTTTTTCCTTAGCATACTAAAAAAGACCTTGAAGGATTTCGGAAGTTATTCCATAGATTCTTACAAGAAAAGGGACCTTCTGTGGATTGGGGAAAAATCCAGAGGCCTCCAGAGGATTCGGTAAGCCTTGGGTAAAATGATGGAGAGATTTACACATTTTGAGACCTTCCCTTAAATTAAAGGGAAAGTTGTCATGGTATTGGGACAATCAATTGTGGTTAAATAATAGAACTCTCTCCTCTGTTTCTTCCTTTCTATTCCCACTGTGACTACCCTGGTCTCATAGGCCCCCTCAGCTTCTTGGCAATAGAACACTGCTGCCATCACCTGCACTCTCTCCTCTAGTCCATGTGCATCTTGCAGAAATGAATTTCATTTGTGTTCTGGTCCTGCTTAAAAAACTTTGGATGGTTCTTTCTCATACACTTAAGGTCCAAACACTAGCCTCACATTGAAGGCCTTCCCAGTCTGACTTCGGTCTATTTTTCCATCATTACCTTATGCTGTTTCCTATGACACAATCAGTCCTCAAGCTGAATTGGACTAGTTGCTATTTCCTGAATAAATATCATTATATTTCCATGTAGCCTCTCTGTTCTACGTGCACGAGGTACCTGCCTTTGTCCTGTACTGTACAATGATTTCTCTACCTCTGTCCCTTCCTTGTTCATCCTTTTTTCAGTCTACACATGTCATATCCTTCCAGAATACCTTTCCTAATCACTCAAGTTAAAAATAATTTCTCTCTCATCAAAATACAGATAGGACATAATCCTGATTCTTAAGAAATTCTATAGCATACATTATCTCAGTATATCACTTAATTGCTCTGAGTTTCAGTTGCCTCATTTGTGAAATGGGGAAAATATTTTTACTGTCTACCCTTCACAGTTTTTTGAGGACAGTTCTCTGTATATAGCGCTAGGAAGTACATAATAAAACTGAGATAATGTCTGCTTAGAGCTTTGTAAATCTTAAAGTGCTAAATAAATGTTAACTATTTTAGATGTTTGCATACACATTTTATCTTCCATAAATTAAGAGTTTCATAAGATCCAGGACTGTATCTTATGTATGTTTATCATGGACATATTATTGACTTAGTTAATATCTATTGAATGTATGATTGTTCAGTAAGTGAATGTTACAGACTGTGGCTTTAACCGATTTCATTTTGCATCTTCCTCAACACCTTCCCTAGGATGTAGAGATGAAATAAGATGAAATAAGATTCAGTAACTTAGGAGGAAGGGGGTGAAGAGATTGTAACTTTGGGATTAAAGGAGTTTGGGAATAGAAGCTTATCTGTGCCCTTCAGTTGTACATTCTAAACCTGTACCTCTTTTAGCAAATTCTAAATGAACTAAAATTGGCATAGAATTAAGAGGTGTCTAGAGTGTAGTTTTAGCTAATGATATATTTCTTTTTTTCTTATGGTAATTTTTATTTTTTTTTTGTTTTCAACATTTACTTCCACAAGATTTTGAGTTCTAAATTTTCACCCCATCTCGCCCTTCCCCCCACCCCAAGATGGCATGCATTCTAAATACCCCTTCCCCTAGTCTTCTAATGATATATTTCTCAGAATAAAGGAAAAAGAAAAGAGTTTTAAATGCAATCTAGAGTTCAAAGTACTATATCCTTACATGTGAGAGCTGGACCTAAAATAGAGCCCAAATGTTATTTTTTATATTCTAGTTAAATTCCTTAGGATTCTTGAATAAGCTCCCTCTATGTTGTTTTTGCTTTCTTGATTACTCCCCTTCCTAGCATTTGTAGGTGAATTATTCTCATCTGCTGATTTTTTGCAGTCTTACCCGTACTCTAACCACTTCAAATTTTTTGGTGTTACAGAATAGTAGAAATCTTTAGGGATTTTTTTTTCTGAAGAAAATAAGCGTTAATAAATTAATAAGCATTGATATGAATGAACACATTTAACAGATGCTTTGAAAGAAAGGTACTCATTTAAACTCTCAAAAATTCTTTTTGGAAACAGTCTTAGTTGTATAATGTAAATCAGAAATAAAGCTTTAGGAAAGGATGATGTAAAGAAATTTGTGTGTATGTATGTAAGAGAGGGAAAGATCCTTATGGGGTTTCTGGCTTAAAAGAATAGAGGCATGGACTATATACAGGACTTTAAAGATTCCACTCTTACAATTGAATTATAGCCAGGACTAGGTGTTAAAGTGTGACTTTCTTGCCTCTTTCCTCCCTTAGGTGCTTCCATGAGAATTTTGGCTTTCCTCTAAATGGTAACTTAGAATCTCAAGAGTAGAGTCATGAGACTTACTGCATCGTAAGCAATAGTAAATGAAAGCCTTGGGAAGATATTACTGTATTACATTTACTGTATTTTAGTATCAGATGGCTAAATCGGGCTTCAGACTCTTAACAGCTATATGACATTGGGCAAGTTACTTTTCTGTTTACCTCAGTTTTCTCATCTGTAAAATGGGGCTAATAATAGCGCCTTTGTCACAGGATTGTTGTGAAGGTCAAATGAGATAATATTTGTTTTTAAAAGGTGCTTATGGGACAACTGGGTGGTGCAGTGGATAGAGCTCCAGCCTTAGAGTCAGGAGGATCTGAGTTCAAATCTGGCCTCAGACACATGACACTTACTAGCTGTGTGACCCCGGGCAAGTCACTTACCCCCGATTGTCTCACCAAAAAAAATAAAAGGTGCTTGGCACAGAATAGGCACAATATAAATATCAAATGTCTGGTTTTCATAGAATTCCAGGTTTTAGAGATGAAAAGAAACACAAAGATTAGAGATCTTATCCAGTCCTCTCACTTTTAAATACAAAGAAACTGAGGCCCAGAGAGGTTGAGACTTGAGTAGTTAGTCTACATTGCTTCATAAATTACTTACAGATTCTCAACCTGAAGAGACTGTAGAAATCATCTCATCCAGCAGTCATTTTCTAAGTGACTGACTACCTGGGCAGCCTCGGGCAGGGAGCACAGGTGCTGCTGAAAAATCCACGTCCTTGCCACCTATTGTGGTGCGTGTGTGTGTGGCCTGCTTCCTCCCAAATGCCACAGTGACCTCTGAGTGGTGACAGCATAGCACTTTCAGGTTTGCAAAGTGCTGTACGCTTGCTAGTTCATCTGAGCCTCAGAAAGATCCTGGAAGGTCTAGATCCTGTTATCCTCATTTCATCGATGAGGAAGCAGTCTCAGGCTGTGACTTTCTGTCACCCAAACTAGTAAGCATCAGAGATGGGATTTGAATCTAGGACTCACCCAGGCCCCTGTCCTCTTGCTTCTTTGAAATTCTAGAGAATAAAAATGGGTTATATCTGTTTCCTGTAGCCTTGAATACTGTCGTTCAGTTACTGCATGGGCATTTCTTAATCTTTTAATGTTACTTAAGAGGCTGAAAAAGTATTTTTGGCTTTTTGCATAGATTAATTGCACTGGAACAGGGGTGGGGAATCTGTGGCCTCAAAGCCACTTGCGGCCCTTAGACTGAGTCTAAGTTTTACAGAGCAAATCCTTTTATTAAAGGGATCTGTTCTGTGAAGTTTAGGTTCAGTCAGGGGCCACACCTGAGGACCTAGAGGGCCTCAGGTGTGGTCTTTGAGGCCGCAGGTTCCCCCCTACACTAGAGGATGTGTGTTATGTGACATTACACATATAACTATGATCAAATGGTATGACAAGGCACTTTATATAACTATGATGATGGTGATGATGATGCTTTTGTATCTTCCACAGCATCTAATACAGTCCTGAGCACACAGTAATTATTAAGTAATTTTACTTCCTTCTCACAACCCTTGATATATTGAAGATAATAAGTTTCCATCTTAAAGAGCAGGGCTTTTTGATATTAGAATGAATGTTTTTAAATGATAGTGATACTTTAGCTAACCAAACAGTACATATTGTTGGTTTGAGGGGAAAGAAATTCACTTATTATGGAATATGATACTATTTCTCACTTTTAGCCTGGCATCAAAGGTGTGAAAATAAATGCTGTCATAACAAAAAATCTCCAAAATTTTAACCTGTTCATCTGTAGAATGTTTGCTTCATTCTTTATAGGAGGAACAGTAAAGTTCAAATACTAATTTTTTATTTAATTCTATGATTATTTCAAGTTTTTTTCTTAAAAAGTACTTCTCCCACTCTCACTGATTCTTTGAGGTTAGGCTTATGCAAGTATAAAATCTTAGTGTCAGATTTTGCTAATAAATTCTAAGTCATCCATTTGATTATTAATCAGAGGTTTTGTTTTGCAAATAGGTGTTTGGTTTTTTTTCCCAATAACCTGTGACATTTGGGCTGAAAATTTTTTTTGTAAGTATAGGCTGGTGAAGGTGTGAAAAGCCAGCCATTCATCTGAAGCATACCTGCGGGTTTTGGTGGACAACCAAGTCTGTATGATTTAGGACCGTGGCATGGCGGGATTAGTCCTGGTGCACTCTGTAGTGTGATGTTTGTTCATTTTAGGAATTTCGTTGTTCAAGTGGAAAGGATCCAGATAGAACGTAAGCTCCTTGTGGGGTCCATTTGTCTGTATCCCCATTGTCTAGTGCGGTGCCGACCACATAGTTGGTGCTTAATGAAGAGCCTTGAGCTTAAGCTGTAAGAAAATTGTTAAAAGGAACTATAGAGGTTGTTTAGTCTAGAGAGGAAAAGATGTGGGGGTAGGAGAATGATAGCAGTATTTCTAATCCAGTCCAATAATCAGTTTTTAAGAGCTTTCTCTGTACAAGGCCCTGTACTAGGCTCTAGGGACCTAAAAACTAAAGAAAAACCAGTCTCAGCTCCCAAGGAACACTGTACTCAGTAATACAATATATGCACAAGTGCATAAACAATGATTTGAGGGGCAGGCAAGTACTAACACTTAGGGGAGTCAGTAAATGTTTCCCTTAGAAAGTGGTGCATGAACCTTGAAGAAAACGAATGACTCTCTTAAGAGGCAGTGGTGAAGAGGGCTTGGGGAAAGTCTGGGCAATGGAGGAGATGGAAAATAGTTACTGGAACAGTCAGTAGGGTGGCTTGGCCCAGAGGTAGATTGTTTGAAAGGACATAATATGAAATACACCTGGAAGCAGACTACAGCCATTTGTGAAAAGCTGTAAATGCTAAGGTGAATG